ACCGGCAAAGTGATGGGCCAGGAAAGTTTTCATAGACTGAAAAAAACAGGTTCCAATGCCTTTCTGAGCTGGCTTGGTTTGGTGGCTGGAAACCCACACATGGTCTCACCAAGCAGACTTCAGATGGGAGCCTTTAATAAATGTTCTAGTTTTTGAAAAGCAGGGCAGTCACAGTGGCCTCTGAGAAAATCAAGTGCTGTTAGATGTGGTTATAAATAACCCAATGGGTGAAACGCTTCATTCTAACTCAGTTTTCAGCCACATGTACGGCAAATGGACAAAGGATCCTAGGGATGCAAAGTCCACTGGAAGGAAGATCCTAGTCTCCCTGAACCACACATTTAATTATTTCCAGAATAAAAGGTAGGTACCTTTTACTGGGGAGAGGGCCTTTAGAAGACAGTGGGGGTGATATTGGTTCAGAGGCAGCAGTGCTTCCAGGGATATACAAACAGCACTGGGTTATGAGAGTGGTAATAATCTGGAAACCCAACAGTTAGAGAACCTTCCCCCGCCCCAGGTAGATATTAAGAATACCACGATACCAGAATTGATCCATGCAAACAAATCTTCATTAGCATCTAGAATTTACCTGCTACCATAAACAGTGCTGAGGGCCCAGAATTGCATCAGATACTCCTCGAGGGGCACACAGTCTGACTGGCTCCATCAGTTAGAGTTCCAGCGGAAGAAGGTAGCCCCACCCAGCTGGGAATTTAATAATGGGACTATTTACCAAAGGGTGGGTGAAGCTAAGGGAGCCTGTAAGGGCTGGGGAGATATATATTAACTTTAAAGGGAAGGAGCCGTCTCAACATGGTTCTCTGTAGGTTAAGAAGGTAAGTGGAATACAGGTAAGTCCCACCAACACGTCTTGTCTTGAAGCTTAAAATGACTGGGATTTACCGGTTAGTTTGTTCAGCACCATCAGTGGGAGGGGTCTCTCCCTTGTGCCAGAATGAAACCACACTCCCTCAACCTTTTCACCATAACCTCAAGAATTCTGGGCTCCATCATCCTTAATTCCTTCTCTCCACTGTGCTACCTGCAGTCATCACTGTGAAGGGTCTTCCAACACCTTCCACTATGGTTGGCTCTACAGTATGTGCTGGAGCGGGTGTGTATCGGTGTGGGCTTGGGACTCCCGGCCAATCTCTTCAGAGGCTAGCCCACATCAATTACTCCTTTAGCCCAGTAGATGTCCTGGCTTTAGGAAGAGAGACAATCAACATTCCAGATTCCCTGAGCCCCATTTCACACCTGAGGGAACTAACTAACATCCCAATGAGGCTGATGTCTGGCCAGCTCAAGGTCATGCAGCAGACTCAAGCCCAGGTTTGAGCCCCTGCTCTTTGTACCTCATCATTCTGTGACTGGCCGAAGAAGGAATGGGTTACAATCTCCATCAGACAAAACTGTTACCTGTGCTGGTGGTTACCACAACTTTACTCAGTGAGATTACATTAATTCTTACCTTCTCCTACATGACATCGAGAGTCTCCTATGATTTACTCAATGCATTCATCTTTAACTCCATCTTCTGCATATTTAGAATGACAGAATAATTTGCAGGATAATTTAGGCTCCATTAGTATGTTATACATGCCTCTATTACAGTACTTATCACATTGTGCTGTAATTTTTTGTTTACATATCTGTCTCTGCCACTTGACTGTGAGTTCCTACGGGGATTAGCCTATGTCTTACTCATGTTAGTATTCCACCTCCTCCCCAGAACCCAGCAGCTGAACATTTTGAACGTCGTAGGTTTTTAATGAATGAGGCAGCTATTTATAGTAAGGCTCAATAGACGACCACACCTGGTTTGCACACATTCATTTATTCAACAAATATTTATTAAGTTCTTACTGTGTGCCTAGCAATATGCTAAGCTCTAGGAATCCAAACATACCATCTCTGTGTGTTTGGGATATAATGGGAGATAATGGCACATAAAAAAAGATAAAATCCTAATGGCTACAGACTGTGTTTCTCCAAAATTCATGAATTGAAATCTTAATCCCCAAAGTATTGGTATTAGGAGGAGGGAAGGTGATTAGGTCATGAGGCTGGAGCATTCATGATGGGATTAGTGTCATTACAAAAAAGGTCCCAGGGAGATCTCTGGCCCCTTCCCACATGTGAGGACATAGCAAGAAGATGACTGTCTAGGAAGCAGGCTCTCACCAGACAGAATCTACCAGCAACTTGATCCTGGACTTCCCAGCCTCCAAAACTGGGACAAATAAGTTTCTGTTGTTTACAAGCTACTCAATCTATGGCGTTTTTGTTATAGCACCCTGAATGGACTAAGACACTAATCATCATGCAATTTGCAGAGACGCACAGGGTATTAAGGGAGACTAGAAGTGGCTAATTAATATGGCCTGGTTGAGGAAAGGTTCAGGTAAGGGTTTCTAGAGAAGGAAACTGCTGAGCTGCATTTCTGAACATGGTTATGAAATAACCAGTCAAAGACATGCTGTGAGGAGGCCATCAGGGAGAGGAAATAATAAGAGTAAAGGCACTAGGACATGACATAGCCAGTTGTGACTGGAAAACTATGCCAATTTGGTGCTGTAGGACAAACATCAACTATGAGACAAGAGTAAGGCAGGAAAGACTATCAAAGCTAGCTGAGAGTGGCCAGTTCACCAAGTTATGGAATTTGGATGTTATTCTGTTAATGATACTGATGCAGTAAAGGGACTTAAGCGGGGGAGAGATGTGGTAAGACTGGCATTTTAGGTAGAATCACTCCCTGACCTTGTGAAGAACAGAGTTGGGGGATAAGACTAGAATTAGGAAAACCAGTTAGAAGACAGTTACTAAAGTACTGGAAAGAGATGAAGAAGACCTGAACTAGGTCAGTTGTAGAAGGAATGGAAAGAAGAGCACTGACTTGAGCTTGACTTGGGAGATGAATTTAGCAGGATCTGGTGGTTAGTTGGATTTGAGGAGTAAGGGAGAGAGAGGAAACAAGGAAGACTCCCAGTTAGAAGACAGGGCCATACTCACAGATGGAGAATAGAGGTAAATACTCAGGTTTGGGGCAAGGTGCTGAATTCATTTTAAACATCTTGAGTTTGAGGTGCATCTAACTAATTGAGGAAATGTCTAACAAGCAGTCAAAGATATGTTTGAAGCTTTATGGAGATGGGGAGAGGGCTGGGATTAGAGGTATAAAATTCTGGGTCCTAAACTAGAAAGCAGTGGTAGAAATCATGAAAGTCAGCAAAATCGCTATGGTGAGCATGTAGTGTGCGATGGACAAACAGCTGGGCCAGGTCCCTGGGAAACACCAGGGAGATTTAGGTCTTTGTCTCCTCTCCTTTCCCAATATTTCCTCAATTCTTTACCCATCTGCAGACCTATGCTTGGGATTTTGTATAAAGGGATAAAAATCCCTAAATCTATAATGATGCTTACCATGAAAACACCCTGGGAGACATATAGCACAGTACCTCATATATGCACCAAGTTTTAAAACATAACTGATCCTTTCCTGAGAGAATTTTCTGATGGGAGAGGTAGAGGAATAAAAGGGGCTTGGCAGGGAGTGGAGAAGCATTGCAAAGGGAGTCTGAGGGTGTGCTTCTTTGTGGCCAGGCGCACTGGTTATGAGCGCAGCCTGCAGCTCTGCCTGCTTCCTACCAGCTTTTGAATGCATCCAGCTTGGGCTTCAATTTCCTCATCTGAAAATGAGGATTACAGTAGTACTTACTTCATAGTAGTGTTTAGAGTGTTAACTGAGTTCATATGCGCAAAGCATCTGGAACATCGCCTGCCTCACAGTAAGTACTGTAAAAGTATTAGCCGCTATTGTTATTTACCATTTTAACTTAGGCCATGGAGTTGTGTACAGCATTTTCCATCTCTCATTTCGCAGACCATCCTCTCCTTTGGGAATGGTTACAATGCAGACCCTATATTGTTGGCTCAGGCTTGCCCTACCCCCGTTTACAGTTCCTGATGTTTGGGATCCAGTGACTTAGGAGGTAGGTTTGTTTTTGTTTTGTACTCCATGTGTAGCCTGCAGTTCTTTCTCCCAGTACTTGTAAACCCTGATTAAATCACTGAACAGCACCACCTACAGACTTACATAACTGCATCAGGAGCATTTCCCTTGGGGATCTGCTCAAAACCCTCTGAGTCAGTTGCCCAGGGAAACAAGCTGGTGATGTCACAAGGTCCCTTCTGTTGAGCCTGAGGCAGGGCCCGGTTCTGACAACTTTGCCCAGCCTAAGCGTACTCTTGTCCTCTCCAAGGCAATGCAGAGACCCTCATTCTCTCCCAGCAACGTCTGAACTCAGGTATATTGGGGTAGTGACCACACACCTCTTCCTGATTCTTTCGCCACAGACCACTTGCTATGCTTCCCTCCAAGGGAACAGAAATGCCTGTTTAAATGGAGTGTCTGGGACAGCTCTCAGTAACTCTTGGTTCTCTAGAGTATAGATAAAAAACTGCGGGGCGGTGGGGGTGGGGAAACAACTAACAGAAACGCTGGGGCTGCTCCCTAGAGGATCAAAGGTTGTTTCAGATTTGATAGGGCCTCAGAGACCTTAGGAGCAAGATTACAACACCCTTCCCCTTTCTAAATATTTACTTCCCTCCATGCGATAAACACGCCCACAATCTCTCCCTCCTGGTCTGTCAACCTGCTTCTCATTCTCTCAAGATATATTATGGCAACTTCCTTATTCTGCCCCCAAGAAAAGAAAATACGACCATGACCCTAGGTATTTTCATTAGAGTTCTCTGGTACTTAACGATAAGGTCATTTAATCATGCCCCGACCCAGTCAAATAGTGCAAAGTGCACTTCTTACATTGCTCCCTGCCCTCTTCAAAGCCTAAATACTGAAACATATGCAAATTTGCAGATTACCTGCTATTATCTAAGTGAAGGCATCTGAAAATCAGCAATAATCCTGTCTCCCACGTTTATCAGGAAAGGAGCCTATGAGAGAAGCAAAATTCAGCCATGTTGGAACGCTCAATCCCAGAGGGGTGTGTTACACAGTTCTCCTTCTCTGGCCCGGCCTGCCATAGGACTTCCGCTGTCACCTGCGGAAGTACACCAGAGGGAAGCTACTTTGAGACCGTTACAGTCCCCTGGTCAGAGCTAGCCATGACGAGGACTTCTACGTGCATATACCACTTTTTTGTTTTGAGCTGGTATATTTTCCTCAATTTTTATATCTCACAACAAGGAGAGGATCCGCGGAAATCCGAAGTCTTTCTAAATGGTGGACAATGGAAGTACTTAACATTCCTTAATCTGGTAAGTCCATTCGGCTGTATCAGGAAGCAAGCTATTTGTCTGTAATATCAGTGCCTCTACACATAACACCTTTGGATTTTATCAAGTACAACATTCCAATATTTGTCTTTCTTCTTCACTGTTTGTTTGTGAGTTTTGGCATTCTCTTTTACTTGACAATTTGCTCTGAGAAACCCCATTTGGGAGTTATCCATAGCTACCTTTTGTGCTACTTGTTAAATGCTCTTTTGAAAAGAATCTTGTCTTGAAGTTCTTCTCAGATGAGCCCAAGTGGGGAACTAAACTAATGGTTTCACCATGGGACTGACTACATATGCAGGAGGAATTTTGAACTTTGCTTGGGGAAGTCTGTGAGGGAAGGCAGAGTGGTGTATGTTGCGTGGGAAGTGCAATTTCCAGTGGAGGAATAATGCCCTTTTACAGCACACACAGACTAACAGATTTATCTAAGAAAAGCAAATACATTTTGCCATGTTCGGATCCCACTTCAATTTTTTATAGGCTCAGGCTCCATCTTAAAGGACAAATCACCCAACCAAATGGCAAATACACATTTTCAACTATTTACAAACCAATCACATCACTTGATCCTTTCCTGTCTCCCTAGCCCAGCTGACCACAATCTGATGAATGAAGTGATGAAGTGTGAATGAATGGGAGAAAAATAGGTTTTTAAAAAATGTTTTGGAAATATGTAAAATTATTTTTAGAGTTAAAAGCTAAACATGCTGCAGCCTTTGGGGATGCTAATTAAAGTTTTGAGATTTTTAACCTAAATGTAGGGTACCGTATAAACATCTGATTTCAGAAACTAGACAAAGTATTCCAGTTCTTTGGCGTCATAATCCTAGGCAGAGGTAATGCATGGTAAAAAAAAAAAAAAAAAAAAAAAAAGAAGATGACTCTCTGTAATGCTAAGGAGAGGAAATTCAGAAGGTTCAAATCAAAGCAGCCTGGAAGTTCAGCTTCCTCCTCTCTGGTAACTTGCTGGCTTTTGATTTTGAGATTTGAGCCCTGAATACAGTTCTACTGTGCCTGAAAAATATCAAGGTGATGGCTTGTTTCAATAATAGAATTTTATGAGAAAACAAGTAAATAGAAAATAACAAAAAATGATTTTGTGGAATTAGAATCATACAGTAAAAGTCTCAGCTTTATGTATCTATTAGCTTCACATTAAGAATAGTCAAGGTAAAGAGAGCAGTGTCAGCCAGGACTGATGATCTAATCAAATCCAAATTCTAGTATGGTTGTCCTCCCTCACACTAAGCATGGCTAACAGCAGATTCATCACTGACTCCCAAACCCCATCTCCCTGGCTTCTTAATTATAGCTCGGTTACATGTCCCAGAGGCACCATATTTCCAAGAATGGAAAAAGACACTCATCTGTCCAGGATACTTATTTCCCAGTGTTAACTCCCTGACTAATCAGCCACCAGATCCTATGTCTTCCCTCTTACTAGGTTCATGCCTTCTTCCCCAATCTTACTGCCCCTCTCATTGTAGGTGTTTATTAGTTGGTACCTAGATGACCAGATCACCTCTTCACTGTCCTCCCATTATCAGTCCATCCATCACTCAGACTTCAGATTAATCTTCCCAAAGAACTGTTCTGGGTTTTGTTTCGCTTCAAACATCATAAGCCTGCTTGAGAAGTGTGGTCAGCTACTCAAGAAACCACAGGGGCTCCCTCCTACCTTACAGGACCAATCTAAACTCCTGATTTAAGAGCTCACCTGATTTAAGAGCTCACTCGGGCGCTCGCCTCCCTAGGAAGGTTGGTCTATTCTCCAGGAAGGCCTGTGTCTTCTCCACTGTTGGTCCCTAGGCTTTTGCTGTCACTGTTCTACCCATATTCACACTATCCTTGAATGAAAGGCCTACCTGCTTCTACACCACCTGCTGCTTTCACAGACCACCTGAAATCCCATATTCTCCTTAAAGTCTCTGCTGAGCAACTCTAGCCCAAATTCGTTTTTTCCTTTCCCTGAATTTTTACGGCTTCTCTCAGTCTCCGCTTATTTATGTATAGTATTGTTTTCTCATTTCCACCCACATGTGATTCTCAACATTTCAATCAAATTGTAAGTGGCTCCCAAACAGGAGTTTTGTCTCCTAAGTCTTTGCCAGCCCTGACGTTCTACGATTCCACACTGTATTTGCCACAGTGGCTGGCGCAGATTATCCCCATAATAAAAGCTGGGTGCCTTGGTATATTGACTGGCCTTGACCTCACTTTTCTGTATTCCTGAGCAGTATAGTCTCTTCTGACATCTTCTGGCCCTTGAAATGGGCAGAGAGGGGCTTCCCTATGGCTGTTTCCTTTCTGCTGTTAGGTGTCATCCTGAAATTGTGACTTAATGCAACGTTTTCCAACTGGTGAAGATGGGTTGAATGTGTTTTAGAGGATCGATTTAAGGTCAGACTTCAAATACGTGACATCACGTGAAATACTACGCCTTAAAATTTCTAGCTCTTGAGGTCTTGTGGGCTGATTAATGGTTGTGTTTCCTAATGATTAATTAGTGTTAACTAACGAATAATTAGTTAATGGTTGCGTTTACAAAGTCACAGAGGTCTCATAACTTGCTATAACACTCTTAAATTTATTTTATGTAAACATATTGAAGTCAGTACCCCATCCTGCTTTCCAGGAAATTTACATCCCGCCCCTTTAAACAGCTTTCATTTCTAGTTGGCTGAATATCTGTCATGGCCCCTAAGAACAAAGTCCAACTTAATCCAAGTCAGCATTCTAAGTGGGCCCCATTTCCTCCTGAAGCTACCCCAGGGGCTTCAAAGGATTGATGCCTGGGGCATGAGGTGAGTTAGTGGGGGTGCCACTGAGGAATGGCGACCAATTCCTGCCTAGTGCCTAAGGAGAGTAAAGAAAGAAGAGGAGAGATGTGAGTCTCTGTCTAATGAGGAGTAAACTGACCCCAGGGAAGAGGCAGCCAATTCCCTGCTGGGAGGGAAGGCAGTAGAGCTTAGTGGGTATAAGCAGGAGCTCTAAGATCATGAGCTCTCTGGGATGGTTCCTCAGTTCCACCTCCTACTGACCCTGGTCTGGGTATTTCTTTGTCTTCTATTTACAAATCTGTCAAATAGTGCATAACCACAGAGTGACCGTAAGGGACAAAGGACGTAAGGGAAGCACTCAGAATGGTGTAAGAAGTGGAAAACGGAATGAGGAGATAGGAGAGTGCTGGTGAGCTTCTAGCCATCTCATCTTTGAGTACAGAAAGGATGGTGCAGAGGGGAGGGTAATTTTGGGGGACATCAGTCCCCTCACTGAGCACCATGGGTGGTGGGTCATGGATTCAGGCAAGGGTCACCCAACTGCCTCACTGCTCAAGTACTTCCCTCCACAGGCTTCACACTTCAGCTTCCCAGCTAGAGGAGGACCACTGTGGAGTCAATGCTTTCCCTATATAATAGTTGCCTAGGTGGATGCCCTCAGGCACTGGGGAAGCCCTAGAGCTAGAGTCTGCAAGCTCAGGCAGAGGGCAGTGAATCCTGCTGAATGCGGTAGCCCCCAGGAGCTGGGCAAGGAGACAAGGCAGTGCTGTGGACATCCTCGGGTGCTCACGTTGGCTCAGGCTTCCAGTGCCTGGGTCTTCCACAATGTTGTGTTCCCTCCTCTCCATCCACTCCACTTCCACCCAGGGACTGTCCCTGACCCCAGGGAATGCAAGCTGGGGAGAGGGGACAGAGGGATTTTTCAGCTACAATTGAAATCGGCTTGCAGAATTCATAAGAGTTTGCTGGGTTTTCCTCTTTTTAAAAATAAACTTCCTTCTGAAACATGGTTAGAGGTGGTGCCTCATAACTGGGATCTCCGGGGGAGATTCTGGGCGGGCCCCTCCCTGTTTCCCTCCCCCCACTTCACCAACAGAGGCACGACATTGCCCTCCCCTCTTCATATAAAGCTGCCCAAGCCGCAGGCAGCTCTGACCTTATTATCGTCAAGCTCTCAGGATGACAACAGCCACTTCATTACATAGGTCCTCAGGGATGGCAAAGCAGGGCCAGGGGAAGAGAGATCCTTGAGAGATCCTTGGGGACGTTCCATCGTTCAAACTCCAAGGTAGCCCATGAACAGTGAGAGGACAGGGATCCATTTATAGTATGTAGAACCCACTGCGATACTTGGGGCCAACCTTTAATTTCCATCATCGGGTTAATATATTCATCTGTGGAACTCTTAAGCTCAGCAGACTCAGAAATACACTTAACTGTCTATTCCACAAAAATGCTTAAGATCACTGTTTTTACCTCTCAGATAGTTGAAAGAATGAGGGCTGAGAGAAGGGAAGAGTCACCACCAGCACCCAAAATAAAACAGCTGTGGTTTACTGAGTAACCATGACAGCGTTTTGGTAGGTTCTTCGTGCACAGTATAAAGATTAGTGATTGAAGGCCTAGCTTCTGGAGCCAGACTGCCTGGGTGCCACTCACTTGGCACGTGCTCTTGAGTGAGTTACCTAACTCCTCTGTGCCTCATATGTAGTGGATCTGTGGTGCGGCACACAGATTCCCCTACCTCCTCAGCATCAAGGTTCTCATTCCCCAGCTCCTGGGAGAAGGGGTGCTGCCTGCTGGTGACTCCTAGCTGAGCTCTCATCCCACAACTGTCCTCAGCAGAAGGGAGCTACCTGGACCAAGGCTTAAGACCTCCCTGAGGTTGCTGCGTGCAAAGACTGGTTGACCTGGGCTACAAAGGCTGGGCTCCAGGACAACTCTGAAGGGACAGCTCAACTCCAGGGCTCCTTCGGGGATTAGCTGATCCCATGCAACTGTACTGCCCTTCCGGTTTTCCTGGTGCTCAGTCCTTCTCCCTCCCTCCCTCCCTCTTCTCATGGATGTTCTGAGAGCACTCCTCCATGAACACCCTTCAGGCAGATCTCAGCATCTCAGATTCTGTTTCCCAAGGAACCTGGCCTACAAAACGTAAAATGGTAAATGTACCGAAAAGGTTCCTCCTCTTCTGCCGCCTCTTCTTCTTCCTAATAAAGACATATTAACATAGAACCTGCCCTGGTCTGTATTATGCCTAACTTCTGGCACCTAAGAGACATTCTGTGAATGTTGGCTGCATGAATAAATGATCAGAACATAACTCTTAACTGGTAAGAGCCACTTTCTAGAGAACCCCATCCCACCCGTAAGACAGCCTACCGCACGGCCATCCTACTGCTACACTGAAGCCAGCTGTTATCAGCTATACAACACTGGCTAAGCATTCTTACAAATCTTCCTTCCAACCTGTCCCTCAATGTTCTTAGTTTCTTCTCTTTATTTTCTTGTGTTCTTCATATCAGTTCTTCTCCCATGTTCTTGATCTCATTCTTTCATCTGTTTCATAAGCTCAATGCACATGAATAATGTCTGAAATATAATATTACATATAATACAGATATATTTGACAAACTTCCTCTACCTGTCCCAGATGCCACCACCCTTACCACCACAGTTATACAAAATGCTCATCACAATGAGTCCCCATTTGCTGTTTTATTCTGAATTAATCTCCACTGCAAGTGTTGCATCATTCTGAAGGCGAGACCTGAGAAAGTCCCGGCCTGTCTGAGTCAGGCACAGAGAGCTGAGCTGGGCGTTGGATTACTTGACTCATTCAGTCAGAGTTGTAATGTCTTGCTCAGGAAACTTGTGGAATCTCCCTCTCTGGAATTATTTTTAAATGAAGAAATTCTCATTTCCTGGGATAGTTTAAGAGGATTCTGGCTTAGAGCAAGGAAAATAAACTTGACAACTTAGAAAGGTTAAGCTTCTGTGTTTTCAAGATTGTTGTGAATTTTGTGAAGACATATGAATGTAAAAACGAAACATCCTTTAGCTATGGTTTCTCAAGTTGCACTAGTTATTAAAAAAATGTAAATTAAGCTCTCCCAGGTGGTAAGTTTGTCAGCTAGCAACAAAAATGGAAGACAGCTAACAATCTTAGATCAGCAGTATTTCAGAAGAAAGGACAGATGGAATTAGGGAAGAACTGGTAGAAAAAAATTAAATCAGACAGCAGCAACTCTGAAGTAAACCCTGACCAAGAAGATACCGTTAACTCTGCTTTTCTGAGCGGCCCAAATAGTTGAGAAATGTAAACAACAGTAATTTTGCTGTAAGAGTCGTAAAAGAAGGCCAGTTGTTGCTATCTTCTTTCAATGCTACTCTATTAGTTTGCTGGGGCTGCCATAAAAACGTACCACAGACTGGGGAGCTTACACAACAGAAACTTCCTCAGAGTTCTAGAGGCCAGCAGTCCAAGATCAAGTTGTTAGCAGGGTTGGTTTCTACAAGCCGCTCTCCTTGGCTTGTGGATGGCTGCCTTCTCCCTGTGTCTTCACGTGGTCTACCCTCTGTGTGGGTCTGGGTCCTAATCTCCTCTTCTTCTAAGGACACCAGTTCTACTGGATTAGGGCCCACCCTACTGTCCTCATTTTAACTTAATCACCTCTTTAAAGATCCTGTCTCCAAATACAGCCACTTCCTGAGGTACTGAGGGTTATAACTTCAAATATGAATTTTGGGGGCATACAATTCAGTCCCTAACAGCTGCCATTTTCCCCCTTGACTATTCCTTCTGTGAGTGTTTTATAAACATCCCCGTGTACTGTCCTTAGAGAATGAGCAGACCAGTGTCTGGTTTTGTGAGCTGATGCAAACCTGCCCTTGAGGCCCTGCAGGAGGCCTCCCCATTGAGTAAGCCCATGCCACCTCCCTCTCCTTGCTCGCCAGCTCTGCTGTGTGGATCCTCTATGCCCTAGTTCTCGCCTGTTTATTTCTTTTGGCAACACCCGAGCGCCCCCCCCCGGGCTCCTATGCAGGGGCTCATAAATATTCCTTGTTGACACAGATGATGGCGCATCAACGTGGGTTAACATCGATGGAGACAAGGCTGCCTCACGCACACAGCTGGCATCTCTCCAAAGTGACATATGCCTGTGAAATAACGTGTGAGCTGAGGGGAGAGGGGGAGAAGTGATTGGCAAGTTTGTGGTGTGGAGCAAATTTTTATCGGTGAAGGAGAAGCCACGGAGGCTCTGAGTAATGTGTTCTTTCCCCAGTCCAATTTCCACATTCTGCGACTGGGAAAGGCAAGAGAAAGTCAGGACGAGCTTGACTCATGCTGACGCTAGGAAGCTCTCGCTAAGGAAAGCGGTCACAGGGACTTCACATGCTGGGTGGAGGCGGCCTCTCCCCAAGGAGGGAAAACCTGGCAGGCACTCAGCGCTCAGTGGGAGATTAATTGCTGTGTGGATTAATTGCTGTGTTGATAGAAAGGTGCAGGCCTCCTCACCGGGGCCCAGGCCCCTCGTCTGCCCTTCCTAACTCCAGCAGCTGCCTGCTATGGCCTCAGGGGTGAGCTGAGAGCTGCTGGGGAAGAAGGGGAGAGAAGGAGACTTCTCCTAGCATTCGGTGCAAAGACTGCACTCCAATTCTGCAGCGCTCAGCGCTCAACGGCAAAAGTAAACAACGAGTATTGGGGTGGCAGCCTCTTCATGGCATTTAAAACTGTAGCCCACCCTCCCTGGAATGGCCCCTTCTGGCTCGAAGCTTCCTCCCCCCTCAGGGCCATGGGGTTCTTGCACATACCTGATTTTCTACCATCTGATCATTCTTTGCTACTTCGCTTCCCCCTAGCCCTCTGTCCCTAGAGGAGGGCATTTCCTATCCGCTTCCCACTTCTCTCCGCTTCCCTTTGTCCTCTCTTTAGAAACCTCAGCCACCACGTGGGCTCATCTCCGCAGCCCCGCCTCCCTGGAGGCTACCAGGGCTGCATTTCCAAATGGAAGTTCCTCTAGGCGAGTGGTTCTCAACCTTGGCTGCCCTGATTACAATCACCTGGGAGAATGTTTTAAGATCCTGAAGCCTAGGCTGCACCCCCAGACTCATTAAATTAGAATCTTTGGGAGTGAGAATCAGGCATCGGTATTTTTTTGAAGTCATTTTAAATTCTCCCACCTGGAGATAATGGTCTCTTTTTCTGAACTCCCACGGTGCTTTATCCTTATTCTTAGAAACCTGACACATCACATGGTGTGTGTGGTTTTTTTAAAGTCTGGCTCAAGAAGCAGACTTTGGGTTTCAAATCCTGGCCTTGATATTTATCAACCATTAGACTTTAGACAAGTTTATTTATCTCTCTGTGCCTCAGTTTCCTCATCTGTAAAATGGGAAGTGGGGAAGGAATAATAGGACTTACCTCATAAGGTTGTTATAAGAAATTAAAAGCTTAGATCAGTGGCCAGCACATAACAAGAAATCAATAAAAGCCAGCTATTACAAAAAAAAAAAAAAGTCAGCTATTATAGTTTTGAGTAGTCAGTAAGATTTTTAAGTGATAAATTTATGTCTAATCCAGTGGCTCTAGAACTTTAGCATATATACAGAGCACCTGGGAATTTATTGAAAAACAAATTCCTGGGCCCCATTCCCAGAGATTCTGATTCCATAGTCTGGGGTGGGGCTGAGGGCCTGCATTTCTAACAAGCTTTGGGGTGATGCTGGTACTGCTGGTCTGAGGACCCCCGTGGGGACCTCGCTGGCCTAATCCACCTCTGTGTCCTCTCCTGCCCACCCTTCAGCCTGAGGAGTGGCAGGAGGCCAACTCTGCGAGAGGTTTCCTAGGGTTCAGAGCTCCGAGCTTGTTCCCCAAAAGCCGACTTGGTTGATCATTAGTCCAGATGCCCAGGTTCCAGAACTTGTCTGACTCAGACTCACAGCAGAGTCCAGGCTGTTCCTTTTGTACCAGTCAGAGCTTTCAAGGAATAGGATTGATTCTGAAGCAGTAACTCAAAACCAACTCCAACTCTGTACTCTTGTGACCCTTAAATTAGAAGCCGTGGGTTTGTGGAACACTGTAAGAATGGACAAAGTCTGTTCTGATTGTGATCTTGTGTCCTTGAAAAAGGCCCTGCTTCTTTTTTACCTCCAAGGCCCTCAGGTACCTAGAGATGCACCCGAGCCCACGGCTTGCTGTGTAGCCCTGTGGATTTAAATCACTCCCTCACACAGACTGTCTCTGTGAGGTCCTCAGAGGCCTGCTCCTCCAGCTTCTCCCTCAGAAAGGCAAGGTGCCATGTTGTGGGTCTCCCTTAGCAGAGCACAGAGCTCCTTCATGGGGCTCTTGACGCTGATTCTGGCTTCTCTAATGAGATTGCAACACTAGGCATTTAAAATTTTTTTTCTTCCTAGGAAGAGGCCAGAATATATCTACCATTGTGTCTGGTGCTCTGCCCTTGTGCTGTTTATCTGGCTTTTCCCACCTCTGTGCAGCCAAGCTATCTATCTCATTACATTCTCCTTTTAAGCTGACTCTATTCTGTTTCCATTTTAGCTCAAGTCCATTATGCTAAATACTGTACACATTATTATCCCCTAAACAACTTTACACAATCGGTTTTAGTGATCAAGGTCAGGGCCCAGCAAGTTGCAAGACCAACCTTCGAACTGGCTCCCAACCGAAACAGCCAGCGGCCCCTCCTTCCCAAATCAACACTGCTCCCCGAGGGATGGTGCTTCATGTCAGTGAAGAATGTATTAATTAAAGGAAATGAAAAGGTCCTCATTTGTTGTAATGAATTTAGTTCTTGCAGGCCCTTTTCTACGGGGTGGCCTGTCTGGAAGATGTGCTGAAAAGAGCTGAAGGGAAAAAAGACATTAAGTTCATAACAGCCTTCAGAGACCTGCTTTTCACCACGCTGGCTTTTCCGATATCTGCAGTAAGTTTACAAAGATGTGCAGGTAATATAATACACATGTCATATGGACTGACACTTCTCCTGGGCAGCAAGGAGCCCATTATTATAATCCAGGGCAACTGCATTTGCATAAATGGCCTGAGGACTGCATAGCACTGCCCAGTGTCTTCGGGAAATAAGGCACATTAACTGACAAGATTTATCATTAGCTTTTGTACCTTTGTGAACGTTTGATACAAGATCCTTATTACTGTCTAACAGGGAAGTCTGAAGGACCTTTCTTAACCAAAATACAACTGCGATGACCTTGGTTCCATCAGGGTGATGGGAATGGAGGCTGCTGAGGAGGCAGATGACTAATTTCCCTTTCATACATCTTGTTTCACTTGCTGCAATAAGCATTTGTTACTTCTGCAAGTGGAAACCATTAAAAAAAAAAGGTATGAAAACTTTCAAAGTTGACACTTTGAAATGGAGGAGAGAGAGGTTGTTTGAAATACCTGGTGTGGGACACATGGTGGGTGACTCACGCATTTTGTGGAATGAATGGACATTGGGAAGAAGCAAGACATATATATGCAAGGGACAGTCGGCTTGTTGCTGATACTGTCCACATTTCTACAACATTGCGCATGTTTTCATTCATTAGTTAGAATGGAAACAAACTGAGACCAGGCACACGGGCTGCCCAGCAGGGCCTATAATTAGAAATGATTACCTCTTTCTACCCGTCATCATTCCACTTCCTATAGTATTGAGACCTCAAACTTAAATCCAAAATGAAACTCTCCAAACACTAATAATGAACTCGCAGATAACGGAGTGAGTACTGGCATTCCAGTTTTACTCTGCAGGACACCTCCTCCTCCACCCCCAAAAATCTTCTAAAGAGGCTAAGATTTTTTTGTATCAATGGAGTTTATTCATTTTTTAAGACTTAGAAATTGAGCCTTTGGAATTTAAGAAGATCGTTAGAAGATTAATAGTTATTTTTTCCCATCTCTCCATTGATTTTGTAGCATGGAAGCCAGACACTTTGAAAAGATAGCCAAGGGGTACAAGAGGATGGGGATCAATCCAAAGTTCTGAGCAATAAGGAGATCCAACTCTCTGTTAACTAGCTTGTGAATTACCCTGGGAGCTTGTCACCTATCCTCGCCCCAGCCTTCCTGCTTCCCCTTGCCATGCCTATTTAGAGAGTGGGCAACGCAAGTGGAAGACTCAAGCCATGCCATGTGGCTGCTCTCAGCACTCCTGGTAAAGCTCAGAGAAGAGAGAAGTCATTGGTTAAAATGAAATGGTCTGCGAATCCTATTTATCTACATCCTCTCTGCCTGCCACAATGACAAATAATTGATCCCTAACTCTCTGAAATCCCCAGAGACTGGGTATTGTAATTCTACAATAAATAATTTTTTCCTTCATTTAGTATTTCGTTATGTATATATAGGAATGTATCTTTAAAACTGGTATCTATTTTTATTTTGCTACGTTTCCTTGATTATCTTAGGAAGCACTCATTGAAAATAAACCTAATGATACTATTGTTGTGTTCTATTTTCCAGTTTGTATTTTTGTCATTCTGGATCCTCTTTCTCTACGATCGAGAACTCGTTTACCCTAAGGCCCTAGATGGTATCTTTCCAGTGTGGTTGAATCATGCAATGGTGAGTGAAAGGAAAATTTAGTGAATAGAGAACGGCAATAACCTCTGTTCTGAGAACTCCAAGTGCCTTATTTATGTTTCCAAACTGCTCCTCAACCCCCAAAATCCCGTTCACTCCTCCCTCTTCATCCCGTCGCTATTTATTTAAAGAACACTTTGAGAATACGAAATGAACAAAAAGCGGTGCTGTAACTGGAGATACAGAGAGCAGATGGGATGTCCAGGCAAGACTCTTTGCCAAGTTGCTTATGAAGTTATTGAAAAGACATGAAACCATAAGGGCAAGCAAACTCTTGGAGCCTGCAGTCCTGAAAGAGAAGTAACTTCAGCAAATAACATGTAATGAATTCCTATCTAGGAATGGAATCAAGCAAGCTTTAAAAATAATCCACCCTGGATGTTAACTAGACTTGTGGTGGTGAACATTTTGCAATACATACAAATATCAAATCATTATGTTGTACACCTGAAACTAATACGCTATACGTGTCAATTATACCTCAAAAAAATCCACCCAAATGTCCAAAGAATAACTCACGGCTCAGAAGCAGCTTCTTAGCTAACACTTGATCACAACTATTTATCACAGATGATTTACACATTGCTGCTTCCCATTTGGGTTTTTATTCATGTATTTATTTTTGAGGGGCTGAAGAGTAACCAGAACCTGTTCTGAGTTATTCGGGGCACTGTATCTGAATACCAGTAACAGTGGCCTGGACAAGCAGAGCTGGAGCAGGACTGTCCAGGCCTTGGATGAAGGAGGTCTGAGTCATCAGCACCACACGCACAGAGTAATCAAAGTACTTGCTCCGCTTCTCAATATTTACAAATGTATTTCCACATTAGTCAGGAATTCAGAAGGAGGTCTGAGAGTCTGTGAAGCCAATGACATTTAAAAACCAGGGGGGGCTTCCCTGGTGGCGCAGTGGTTGAGGATCCGCCTGCCGATGCAGGGGACATGGGTTCGTGCCCCGGTCTGGGAAGATCCCACATGCCGCGGAGCGGCTGGGCCCGTGAGCCATGGCCGCTGAGCCTGCGCGTCCAGAGCCTGTGCTCTGCAACGGGGGAGGCCACAGCAGTGAGAGGCCCGCGTACCGCAAAAAAAAAAAAAAAAAACCAGGGGGAAGTCACAAGGGAGTAGCATATCAAGGCTCCTCAGGTTCACAGACTTTCTTCTACCTCCAACTTTTCCACTGTCTTAAAACTCACATGATTACCAATTTGGAAAAGCAGCTCAGTCCACCATGTGCCCTGCCCCCCACCCCTCAGAAAAATGTACTTTCACTTTAAATATGTGCTCAGTGAGATACTAATTAATTAACTAAGGTATACAAGTTCCGATCTCATTTAGAGTTCAGGACCAAAAACTATATATTTAATAAGTCCCACCTCCCCGAGACCCGTCCTACCAGCTTCTTTTTGTCAGATCACCTCCTCATCTTCCCAGTTTCCCATTAACGTTGATCTGAAACCCCTACACAGGGAATATTGTGGCTTTTTATGGCACTTAGAGTATATTAAGTATGTTCCTCAAATAGGAGCCCATTTAATTCATACAACTTTCTTTAGATAACAATTACAATCCTGAATTTTTCCAAATTAAAAAAAATAAAAACTCAAAAAGGTTAAGTGATTTGCCTGGGGCCACTGAGCTCATAATTCACTCTTCCTTGCCTTGTACTATAGTAAGTGCAGAACTTGTGGTTCAGTCTAGTTTCATAATTCACCAGGCAATCAAAAAGGATGTCACTGCTTGATTAACAAAGCAAAGTGAGAATTCTCACTTAAAAAAATCCAAAATCCCCATCTGTATGCTAATAAGCCAAAACTCTACTTAAGAAAATGAAGCGATTTGGGACAACTGACTGAGCTGGATGTTACTAAAATAAAAAGGCAGAGTATTGAAAGTGTCTTTTATTTGGAGCCAAACACATATATCAAATACCTTTTCAAGGTTTTGTTAGCTCAGCTAGTAGTTTTCCTACAACTATTACAAGCTTCCTACCTCTTTGGGGTACCATTTTCCACATGGAAGTAAGATTAGATTTCTTCCAAATAGTTGTGATGGTGATGCCCAGCATTTGTGACCTTGCTAAACAGCCATATGGACTTTTGGTAATTTTGGAAGCAGATAGCTTGATAATGTATGTCATATCTATCAGTTAATTAGCAAGGCAGATAATATACAACAGAGAACATAAAATATTCGTGTGCCTTCACAACCTGGGGGTTTCTTTTGACCCTGCTCTCTGCCTTTTGGTCAATCAAGTAACCTGAATCCCTTAGAGAGAAGGGGCTAGGGTCCAAAAATGTGGAACGACAGTGAAAAAGAGAAAAGAAGAGGCAACCTGCCTTGGGTCAGACACAGACTCTTCTGTGATTCTGTTAATTTAATTGGAGAAACTCCCAATGGAGCCATTTCTAGTGAAAATGTTGGCATCAGCAAAACCAGCACTGGGTGCTCCTAACGGGGTCATCCCCAAACGTCCATGCTTCCTTATGGTGTCTGCTCCAAATCCAGTGTGCTCGTGACTGCATCTCATCCCTCTTCCCCAAACTGTGTCCCTTACTCTGGACATTTTCTGTCCTCACTATCAAATACTCCTGGTCTATTACCTCAAGGAATGCTCTCTGTTGACTTTTTAAATACTAGTATAAAAGAATATGGAAATGGCTGTTACTGGGTTAATTTGTTGACACTTTCTGCATTTTAACAGTGTCCTTCCACGACAACTCAAATGAGTAAATACCCAGAAACCACCACTGTGGCAGCCAAAGTGAGGATGGGAGGTCACTGGTACTAGTTGCTTCCATGCAGGGCTGGGCCTGATCTTAAAATGAATCACTTCCTGTATTGCTCCTTTTTTTCTTCCACAATATAAGAATTATTGCTGTACACAGCCAGCGTCATACTTTCCTGAAGGTTCTTTCATTTCACAACAGTCTTTATGTTTACTATTCTAGCCTTAGCTCTGGAATATTCTCCCTGTTGCCATTTGCATTGCTGCCCTGGGTTTTATGAGTAGGATTTGTCAGATTAAGAAATACCACTCTCCCCTTTGACACAGTGTAGTTCTAAAACCTTCATGATTCATCAAGTCTTTGGGCTCCTCCCAACCCAACCCTTCTAGCTCATTCTAGACTTGCCGTTGCAGTAGATCGTTCAAAGCTGACTATCATCTCTAATGGACATTTTTCTATCCTTGTTATATATTCAAACCAAACAGTAACATCAGTGTAATATTTGCATCAACCGTGGGCAGGCTGCCTTATTTAAAGTAGATCAACCGGACTGTTTTATTGCTAAGCTGTTCTCCAGTCTTCAAGAAAGAAGGGAAAGAATAGCAAAGTACTCCTCCAGGTTTTGCCAGGAAAACATTAACTCCTCAGGCATTATCTAAATGACTACTCAAGATAGAACCAGAACAGACAGATTCAAAGAGCAGGAAGAGGACTCAGTAACTGAGGAAACGCTCAGATCCTAACCTGAAGGGAGGTGGGGGAACTTATTTCTCCGGAAGTCAACCTAAACCATTCAGGTTTCCCTAAAGGAGAGGGAAGAGATCAGAGAACCCCCCCAGAGGCCCTCTACATTTGAGATCAGTACACGATTATTGAGCAAGTGCATACAAGCACCTTATAAACTACCGAGGACTGCATAAATAGTTATGATCACGTAAGACTCTCAATCCATGATCACAGAGCTTTAGAACTGGAAAGGCTTCATTTATATTAATGGAGATTTCAAAACAACCTGCTCTTAAGAGATAGGCCTTGGCTCTTTAAATCAGAGCAAATACCAAATCCAGCCACCTAGTTATTGAATGTGTTGTCATTTATTCACTTGAAATAAAATAATGATTAAGTACCGGCTATAAGGGTTAACACCAAGATGGACATTTGACAAGGGTTTTGACTTCTGGCAACCTTAAATCTGGTGGAGCCTAGTTTACACACACAACGTTGAAATAATACAAATAACAGTTAATGCTAATACAAGACATTGACATAGATGGTGTCATGCAGCGGTATGTTATTATTGCCAAGTGAATGACATAGACAGGAGGGCTGCTATGCCCCTTGTGTCCCAGCCTGGCTGTGACAGGCATGTGGGTCATGATTGGACAACCTGGAAGGCCTTTTAGCCCTCTCTGGGGGCTTGCTGGGGAGTCAAAATGTCAAGGGAAACTCTAAACCTTCCAGTTTCTTCCTCACTCACAGTATGCCACATGTTGTCCATCACTAAATTCAGGCCCCAGTCTCAGATTTTTCTCTCCCACCCGTAAGCTTGGTGTGAAACTGCTGGGCGGCTAGGCAGAGGTAGGTGAGTCCTAATGAGTAAAGAAGGTCACCTGTGGGGACATCAGCATCAAAAGGCCCCCCTTTGTCCTCAACGTTACAAACCCCTCGCCCATGCCTCCTTGGTTCTTTACCCCAGCGCTTCTGGGCAGAGAGGACCCACAGTCTAGATATCTCTGGATAGCTCAGTGGTTTTCAGCCTTTAGGAAACAGAACACTTTGTGAATCTGAGGAAATCTATGAACACTTTCCCAAGGAAAGCACAAATAACCATAAAATTTTGTGTACAATCTTAGAAGGTTCATAGACCCTCAAAATTCCATTTATGGACCACAGGTTAAAATCTCCTGACATAACTGAACATATACTTGAAAACTGGGCCCCCAGATGAGTTCTAATGCTGAGTTCAAATAAAAAATACAAAATCAAGAATTATTCATGGGGTGACAAGACAAATTTGAAATATGATTCCCAACCTCAAGAAGCTTAAATTATAGTTTTATCTATATACATACTCCCACCCAGTCTTTTAACTTGCTGTAAGTAGAGGCTGTGTTCTGAAGGAACTCTGGCAGAACATTTGCCACAGTTAAAAACAGCCCCCCGCCCCTCCAGTATTATTCCCCAGAAAGTCCATGTCTGAAAAGGAAGAGGGTCCTGGTCAGGGTTCCTATGGGGAACTCCACCTCCCATCTACTT